AAGGTTGATGATGAGAGTGCTGCTTCTGGAGCACTCCCAGGGTTTCAGGCACTGTCCCACTAAATGGTGCTGCCGTTATCCCCACTTTAATGTGAGGGGACTGACTCGAGAGGTTAAGTGACTAAGTGCTAGGGGTGGGATGGTGAGCAGAGCTGCACCTTGCAGAATGCATTATCCCCAGACTGCAGCCCCAGGGAGGTTCTCCCTTCCCCCTCAGCCCCAGCATCTGGCACCCCCACCACTCTTCAGTCACTGTCGCCAGGCCTCCTTCCCTCAAGCCCCCCCCCCACCTCCCCCCCAGCAACTTGCCCCGAGCAACCAGAACGGAACCGCACAAGCTTCTGACAGGCATGCCCAGGGCTCCGGAACCCTGGGCTGGGACCCACCTTCCCAGTTACAGTGCATAATGGATGCGAGACTACAGGAACAACCAGAGAAACCAATAAAATGGATGTTTTCCATTTGTAATAAAAAAAAAAAATTAAATTTTACTGGAACATTTCAACGACATCATAAGGTCAAGAAAGATCGCCGTCAGCCCAGCCCTGAGTTTTCTGTGGGGAAAGGGACGGAGTTCTGGAGTAAACATGCAGCTCCCACAGAGGAAGTTTCTGTTTCCCTTTCCCAAACCTTGGCTCAGGAACACACCATCCAGCTCGAGTAGCCGAGTAGCCGTGGGTGACAGACAGGTTCAGCCACTGCTCTGAGCCCCGCCCTCACCACCCACTTTTTACACTGGGGTGGGGTGAGGGGAGTGCCGTTTCCAAGTTGCTTCTCACCAGTTAGGCCTAGAGAGTCCTAGCTTCAGCTCTCACCCTTGAACCTAAGTGGCCAGCCTAACCCAAAGTCATACAGCCAGCACCTGCCCAGGGCCTGGAGGCAGGAGGTTCTTGACAAGAAAGGCTGTTTTAGACAGAAGTTAGAATGGCCGCTTGCCTCCCATCTCCCGACCCTCTTACCTACATGAAAGCAGCCCCAGAGAGCTTTCTGTCATGGAAACCCCTCATCTGGGGACAGGGCAGTGAGACCCACGTGACATCCAGAGTCCCTGCCTATCTGTGTTTTGGAGTTCCAGGCTCTGGTAAAGAGGTCGCTGCCTTTATAGTTTCTGGAGGTACAAAGGCCCTCAGACCAGAACTTCCCTTATCTAACACCCACCCCCCTTCACCCCCATCCTGGGTTCTATTCACGCTTTTTAAATATATATATATGTTTTATTGATTTTGTACAGAGAGGAAGGGAGAGAGATAAGAGAGCTAGAAACATCGATGAGAGAGAGTCATCGACCAGCTGCCTCTTGCACACCCCTTACTGGGGATGTGCCCGCAACCAAGGTACATGCCCTTGACCAGAATCGAACCGGGACCCTTCAGTCCCCAAGCCGACGCTCTATCCATTGAGACAAACCGGTTTCTGCTCTATTCACACTTCTGCGCCTATGGTCTTGGAAGGGTTTCTGTCTGCTTGCTTTCTTTATAAGCTTTGATTTTTAGAGAGAGCAGGAGGGAGAGAGAGGAACATCGATTCAATGTGAAAATGAAACATGGATCAGTTGCCCCTCACACACTCCCTGACTGAGGATGGAACCCAAAGTCTGTGCGTATGCTCTGACTGGGAACCACACCTGAGACATTTCAGTACATGGGATGATGCTTCAACCACTGAACACACCGGCCAGGGCTGCCTTCTTTCTCATACGTAAACCTTTCTTTAACCTCAAAGGAAGAGGTACCTGAGGGCCATCTCCTCTGTACCTTTCAGGTTCAGCCAGAGCCACACACACAGAAGGATCCACAGCAGGAAGGAGATGAAAACAGTGTTGTTCCAATGTAGGTCACAACCTGGAGGTGGATCATGAAATCAATTTAAAGGGTTATGGCCAGCCCCTTTAAAAAATGAAATAGAGCCCTAGCTGGTTTGGCTCAGTGGCTAGAGCATCGGCCTGTGGACTGAAGGATCCCAGGTTCGATTCCAGTCAAGGGCGTGTACCTTGGTTGGTACCTTGGTAGGGGGCACATCCCCAATAGGGGGTATGCAGGAGGCAACTGGTCAATGTTTCTCTCTCATTGATGTTTCTAGCTCCCTCTCCCTCTCCCTTCCTCTCTGTAAAAAATCAATAAAAATATATATTTTTTAAAATGAAATAGCAGAAACCGGTTTGGCCCAGTGGATAGCGTCAGTCTGCGGACTGAAGAGTCTCAGGTTCGATTCCGGTTAAGGGCGTGTTCATTGGCTGCAGGCACATACCCAGTAGGGGGTGTGCAGGAGGCAGCTGGTTGATGTTTCTCTCTCATCGATGTTTCTAGCTCTCTATTTCTCTATCCCTCTCTCTTCCTCTCTGTAAAAAAAAACAATAAAATATATATATTTTAAAATGAAATAGAGCCCTAGCTGGTTTGGCTCAGTGGCTAGAGCATTGGCCTGCGGAGTGAAGGGTCCCCAAGTTCAATTCCAGACAAGGGCACATGACTGGGTTACAAGTTCCATCCCCAGTTGGGGATGTGCAAGAGGCAGCCGATCAATGATTCTCTCTCATCATTGATGTTTCTCTCTCTCCCTCTCCCTTCCTTTCTGAAATCAATAAGAACATATTTTTTAAAAATGAAACAGAATACAATAGAAAATATCAGAGTGTATCAATATAGCAAGAATAAGTATTTCCCCCATACAATTTATTTCAATTATTTCACAATATAAAATGGGTTTCTTGCTGTGGGTCACTGGACAAAAGAACTCTGGTTAAGACAGAATCAAGACTCATACAGCAAACACACAAAGACTGCCTGCTCTGTGTTAAGTACTATGTGAGGCACAAGAGACGCAATAATGAATAACATAATCTCTAGTCTCAACCCATCTTCTGGCTGGGAAGCCAATAAGTAAACTAACAGTTGCAGGATATGATGCTTAATGCTTGTATTTGTTTGTTTGTTTTTAATGCTTAATGCTTTGAGAGAGTAAGTGGGAGGCGATAAAGCCCTGATATGAGAGTGGGCATCTGGGCGGGCTTCTCAGAGGAGGTGATCCACTCAGAGTTCTTAGCAAGAAAAGACAGTGCATAGGATCTCCTCTAGATAGGAAAGGAACTATGGTCAAATGTCAAGAGTTCTAGTTTTCAAGGCTAAAGACAACTTTTAGTCCTGCCTCTTCTTAACAAGCTGTGAAATCTTAAGGTGAGTCCATTCACCTTTCCACACCGTTTCCTCACCTACAAAACGGACATTTTCACTGTCAATGCCAAAGAGGAGGTCATATGAGACAGATATGTAAGTGAAAGTACTTTGTAAACTAGAAAATGGGGAAAGATTGTTTCTATGGATGAGGAAACGTAAGTGCAGAGAAGGAAGTGTCCTGTTCAACACTACACAGCTGTGGGCAGCACATCCCCCTCAATCCTCAAGCTCGGGGTCCTGCCTACACTCATCCTCCCACCGCAACTGAGCTACCTTGCAAGAGGGTGGGGGCAGGACTCTTAGAAACCTGACCACTGAAGATTTACCTTAATGATTCTATTGCTTTAATGATGTTTTGATAACGATGGGAGGCAAATAAATATACGAGAATTCCTCCCTTCCCCCTTCTGTTAATGAATTGGGATGTACCCAAACTCAGCGTTTAAAGTTACATAAGCATCGTTCAGATCCTGTTAACAGCTTTGATTTTGGAAAAACAGCATTTCCATTAAAATGGTGTTACGTAAAAAGGCTTTGTGTATGCATGTGTAGGAACAGGCACGCAGGAACATTGTTAAGACACACAAAAACCTACACTCAAGGGGAGCAGGTATTTGACTGCACCTCGCAAGTTAAAATGTGACTGACTTGTCCTCCCTCGCCGTGAAAGCTTGTGTATGTTGGGCAATGGGAAGTGCAGAGGGCCTCCATTCCCTGGGGACCAGAAAAGTCCTGACCTTTCTGGAAGCCCCTTCCTTATGAGTTCCATGAAGTCACAGACTGTTAAGGGTTAGAAGTAGCTCAGAAGTCACCCAGTGCAATCTCACTCTACATCAATCTTGCCAGCCTTGACTTGAATTGTTAGTTACCTTCCTCTCAGGGCCATCCATGTCACCTAAGGTCAGATGTAGCTCCCTGAAAAAGATCTGCTATAGAGTTGAAACTTGCCTTGCTGAAGCTCCTGTTTCTTGGGGACAAATGGACTAGTCTATCCCTCTCTTTGAGCCAGCCATAAGCGTCCAGGAGCTATAGCCAATAGAGGGAGGCTGCCTGAGGCCTAAGAGCAAGGAGGGTGGCCAGTTAAGAGTCCACAGGCCTGAAGCTCTTCCCAGACCTCCATCCATCTCAACTGAGGTTGGTAACTAGGGGGAGAGGAGTGAAGTGGGAGGAGGGGGAGAAAGGTGGAAACCCTGTATGCAAATAAGTGGCTTTGGGCACACCCCTGCACCCCAAGTCTCCCTTGAAGTGTGGGGGTCAGACTTCACGAGGTCAGTCCCAGCGCTGATTCTCTTGGGAGTCCCAACGTCCGTCTTTCGTCTTTCGGGATTCGACAGTTGTCCTCTCTTATGTGAAACAGTGGGCCCACGATCCCAGGTCCAAGCAGGAAGGAAGAAAACTGCCCTGAATCCTCCCACCACGGCCAGACCTGGGTTAGGCTTCACCGCGCGCCCTGGTTACCCGCGAAGACACGGCACAAACCGGAACCCCCCAGCACCCACCGCGTCGGGAAACGTGAGCTTCGGAGTGTCCTTTTAAGTTGTTGGGAAGGGGGCGTGGCCAGGGGGACGCGGAGGCCGCAGCTGCGCGGAAGGGGCGTGGCCTGGGGGCGTGGCCGCGGCGACTGGAATGTTGTTGGGTCCTCGCACCGCATAGTAAGGAGAGGACACGCCCCTTTTCTCCGAGAGGGCCAATTGGCGCGCCGGAGCGGTTTCAAGTCTCCCCGGCCAGCTTTGCCCGCCCGCCACCCCACCCCCCTCGGGGATTCGCTTTTTCCGTAACAAAATAGCGAAGCTCCGGATGTTGCGTGGCCCCACGGCTCGCTGATAGAGGGTCCCCGGGCCTAGGACGGTGCTCCGCAGCGCGAGGCGCCGGCGGGCTGCGGAGAGGCCGAGCCCGGAGCCCCGAGGCGCGCGGGGGTGGGCGCTGCAGCCGCGGGTTGTTTATCTGGAGTACGGAGGGGAGGGGGGAGCCTGGAAACCGCCCCGTGTCCCATTTCCTCCTCTTGTTTTCGCTCCGGATTCTCCATGTTGGACCCAAACTGAGGAGCCCGGAGCTGCCGCCGGGGGATCGGGGGCCGGGGGCACCCGGGGAGCCGCTGGCCGGGCCGCCTGCTCTCCGTACAGGCCGCCTCCCTTCCCGGCCCGGGGAGGGAACCGGAGCAGGGATGTGAACGGCGGTGGGAGCCCGAGTCTCGCGAGCAGGAGCGGAGCGGGCCCCCGCCCAGGCCCCCCAGCCCAGCCCGGCCCAGCCTGCGCCCGTCGGTCCTCCCGCCCAGCCAGCCCGGGCCCGCGGGATTGTTAGATGGAACACGGCTCCATCATCACCCAGGCGCGGAGGGAAGACGCCCTGGTGCTCACCAAGCAAGGTAGGGGCCAGCAACTTCCCAAAACTTTGCGTTAGCCCCCGATCGGGGAGGGGGCTCACGCCGCCCCGAAACCGAGGCCTGGTTCCCGGCCTCCCGAGGCTCGGGACGGGCGGTTCCAGCCGGGATCCCCGGCCCTCCCGCCCCCCCCCCCCCGCCTCCGCGCCGGGGTCCGCACTCCGACCCCCGTGGGGGTGGCGCGGGCCCCGCGCCGCGGCGCCGAGGGGGAGGGGCGTCGTCTGCGCAGCTGTCACTCCGGCCCCAGCCTCCTCCCCCGCGGAGAGCGGCCGGGGGCGCGCGGGCAGCCCGCGTCCCCCGCCCCGTCCCCGCCCGAGTTGGGGGGGGGGGCGGTCACTTCCCCGCACGACTCCGCACGCCGCCCCGGGAGCTGGGGGACCGGGCGGGAGGGAGCCTGGACTGGAGTCCGGCGCTGCCCAGGCCCCCCCCCCCCCCCCCGCCAGCCCTGGGCTGCCCAGGCGGCGGGCGGGCGGGGACGGCGTCCGGCGGGACTTGGGACCAAGTTCACAGCCCGGGGGCGGGGGCGGGGAGCCGGGCCCGGCGGACCGGGCCCTGCGCGGGGCCGGGACCTCCGGGCGCGGGCTCTCCGCGGGGCCGCCTCCCGCCGCGGCCGCCGAGCGAGCGGACCAGCCCGACCCCGAGGCCCGGCGCGAGCCCCTCCCCGCCGGGCGCTCCCCGGGCCGCCCCTGCACACACAGCCGCGTTTGTTCAGCCCGGCGGCGGCGGCCCTGGTTACATAACTCGCCGGGTGGCACCGGAGCCGGCGCGGCTCGGAATCGCGCAGCGAAAAGTGCGGGCTCCCCGTGGGCAGCGGCCCCCGCCCCGCCGCGCCGAGGGGTCGGGTGGAGACGCGGGGAGCCCCCCCCCCCCCCGGGGAGGCCGGGGGGCCGCCGCGGAACGAGGCCTCGCCTTTCCCGGGCCAGGGGGTGGGGGGAGATCGGAACCCGAGGGGGAGGGGATCTCTCTCGAGTTTGGTCGTGGCGGAGGCCCTGAAACTCATGCCCCCTCCTCCCTTCGTTCCTGTTCAGGCCTTGAGGAATGTGCCTGAAAGAGCGAGCGGACAGAATTTCCGCGGGGAGTGAGCGTCGTTTTTTTCTGGAGAACTTCCCGGACTGGGGCCACCTGGCCCTGAGCTGGGGGGAGCGTGCTCTTGGGACCTAATTCAGAGTTCCTGCCCTTCCCTGGACCGCCCACCCCCACCCCAGAGCGGGCCCCGTAAAGGGCTCGTGCTGGGTGGAACACAGAGAGAATAGAGCCTGTAGGAGGCCAGCAGCGGGGTCTCTGTGTGGCCCCAAACCCCCCTATTTGGTAACAGTAAGTCAACAAATCACTTATTCGTGAGGTTCACAGACCCAAGCAGCTCCCCCAACTTGCCCAGGGGCAAAGAAGCTGAAGACTGGGAGAGTCAGCCTTTCCCAAATTCCCCAGGTGAGGGACAGTGTATGCTTCCTGTATCACTGGTTCTTCTTTAAAGAAGCCTGTCCTGTGGAAGGAGAAGAGCCAGAACTTTACTACCCGATCCCAGCCCTCCGGAGCCCCTGATTCCCTCTCCCCCAGCTGCATGGCAAACCCCTCTGTGACCCCAGCTGCAGCTTCACCCTCTGTTCTCTGCTCAGCTGCAGCCATGTGGATAACTTCCCTCTATGTCCAACCTCACCCCGGGAAAGGACTCCAGGAGGCCTCCGAGACTGAAGAGATTTGGGTGTGGAGGATTCCAGATGTAGCAGTGTTGATGAGAAGGGGGAAGAACAACCCTTGTGCCTCCCCCCTCAGGTCCTCTCTTCCTCTAGGGCACATGTGTCAAACACAAGGCCCGCGGGCCAAATCCGTCCCGCCAGGCCTTGCAATGTGGCCCGCACCTCGCTGTCATCACTGCACTCCGCTGCGTTTCCATCACAATGACAGTTTATGACTGTTCAGTAAACCATTCGGCCCGCGATTTAGGCTGGATTTTAGATTTTGGCCCCTTCTCTGATTGAGTTCGACACCCCTACTCTAGGGGCTCAGGAGGGGGCCTGCCTGGTGAGGGCACCACACCAGGAGGGAGGGAAAGCTGACCTCTCCGAGTTCAAAGCTGGACAGTTCATCCAGAGCGAATGGCAGGGAAGAGAAGAGATGACAGCAGAAAGCAAAGCACCTGGCTTCTTGACAGTGTTTAGTTGTTGATGCTGGTTGGATTTGCCTTTTCCATTTCCTTTGTGTGGCTTGTCCTTCAGATTTATCCCCGGAGGAATCTGAATTCTTAAGCCAGCAGCCATGGGTCTCTCTCTCCCCCCCATGTAATTTGATTAGGGTCCAGAGAAAACATACTTTCATCCTGGGCTGCTCGGGCAACCAGCAAGCCAGCTTTCCGAGTTTCATCATTTACAAATCCTGCATCTTAAAAAGAAAGTGGACGTAGAAAGTGGACTTCAGCTACTTAGGAGCTCCTTGCCTCCCCTCTCTCCATAGGCCCCCCTCCCTTTGGACAAAGAGGAAGAAGTGTCAGGCTACTTATTAATAAATTTCTAGAAAACACAAATTGTTCCTAGCTTGAGTAGTTTTTTAGTGAAGTTGCTATTGCAGTGTTGTTTCGTGTGTCCGTGTTTTCTTTTTCTGGTTTAGCATTCTCTTCTCAGATCTTTCACACTGGCTGGGTGTGTTGATTATTCAAAAGTAATTACAGTAGGGGAAGTAGGAGAAAGTTGCTGAAAGCATTGCTGATAAAAGGGCCAAAATTGGATCATCTTCCCTGACAGATGGGTGAACTGGCTTCCTGATCACTGCAAGGACAGGGTTGTGTGGAATATCCAAAGTAAAAAAGAAAAGTTGCCGGTTTGGCCAGAGAGTGGCCCTCACAGCCCATATATGAGGATGTCACCCCGTTGCTGGGAGGTTGTACCATGGATTCTGGGATTAGATGGGAAAGCCCAGGAAACAGGTCACCTCTCTAACCTCCCAGTGTGAGATGAGAGGGTGGAGGCCGCCGCCTCCAGAGCTCAGTGACTCACAGGCCCTTGGGGGAGTCGGGGCCGGTGGGACCTTTCTTGTTTTCCATGGGACCGATGTCCCTGCCTTTCAGGGAGGCGACGGAGGGTGCTCTGGGTTGTCTTCAGAAATGTGTGACTGAACTGGTTCTGGCAGCTGACCATACCTAAGAATTAGGACTACGGCAGGTTTTTCTAGCTCCCGTTTTCTCCTCCCTGAGGGGGAAATTCTGCCTTACTGCTCATGAAAGAGCTCAAATACCTTTCACTATAGCTGTAGCCAGGCCCTTAACTTGAAAAGCTCAGGCACCGTCTTGTTGGGGCTTTCTTCTTTCGCTGGCTCTTGGGAGTCCAAGGGGTCTGCTCGTAGCTAGCTCCTCCTGCCTGCTGGTTTCTCTCCTCCTAGCCGGTCTTCAGCCTTGGCCTCTTTGTGGCTTCTGTGTCTCCTTTAGAGTCGCCCTCCCCCTCTCTAGGAGTGGGTAATGGCTTGTGGGGTGACTTGAGCTTCTGTTTGCTCAAGGGAGTTCTGCTAACTCAGCAATGAAGTTTGAAATGCCTAACATCCTTGGGTGAGGAGTTTACAGTTCTGCTGCTGAACTTGACTTACAGTGCTTTCGTCTGAGCAGGACTTGGGAATTGCTGTGGAAAACCCTTCCTGTCCCCTTCCTTCTCTGCTATAGGGGACCTAAAGAAACTGGGCGAGCGAGAGGCCCCCTTTCATCCTCCCTGGGAACTGCTGAATCCCTTCTGATCATGGGCTTTGTTAAACAGTAAATGCTGTGTTAGTCACATTTCTAGACAAGGTGAATTGATGCTCCCAGCCATTCTGTGGGCAGTTTATTAATAGAAGTGTTCATAACTAAGTATGGGGAAAAGAGACAATGTGTACATATTTATATACAAATATATTGCTTTCTCTTCCTGCTAAACATTCTTCCTGCTAGCTTTTGTGTAATGTGGGATCTTTTCTATTCCCATTTTGGAATAGGTAGTGGTGGTGGGGAGGTGAGGAGGCCTGGGCAGCAGTTAGAGTGTTCATTGTTACTTCAAAGAATTCTTTCGGGAGCAAAATTGGTTGCTTCAGTCCAGCCTCCTTTTTTACATATCTAGACCACTGCTACTCAGTGCCTCCTCCATTTCCCAGGACCGTGGTTGGCAAACTGCGGCTCTCAAGCCACATGCGGCTCTTCGGCCCCTTGAGTGTGGCTCTTCCACAAAATAAAATAAAAAAGCCTGGGTGAGTCTATTTTGAAGAAGTGGCATTAGAAGAAGTTTAAGTTTAAAAAATTTGGCTCTCAAAAGAAATTTCTCTTGATATTTGACTTTGTTGACTAATGAGTTTGCCGACCACTGTCCCAGGACACATGCAAACAGCACTCAGTCATGCGGGTTTTATTGTTAAAGACAGGTGGCCAGGGGTCAGAGGGGACACTGATGTGGGGGCTTGGGCCTTCTGGAAGGATCAGCCTCACGACCTTGGTAAACAGACCCCTTCTTTGTGCCAGTGCGACTTGGTGGGATTTTATCTGCACTGGATCGAGTGCATGTGCCTGGGGCTTTTGCAGTTCTGCCAGATAGCCATGCACGTCCTGTGAAGAGTCACTGAAGTCTAAACCAACTGAGCAGTTGCTCGGCCTTCAGAAATGAGCATAGTGAAGATTTGAGACAACTGTGTGCTGCACGCTCTCACGGTCTGCATTTGCTTTGGGAATTAATGAACCCGGCGGTACTCAGATTTCTTTTAGCAACTTCTAGTAACGACAAAAGTAAATGGGTTTGGGAGAGAAAATAGATGTTCTTAAGCTATGTCTTTGCTGCTGTGGTTTTGGGATAGAACATTGTGAAAACACAAAAAGCAGCATAAAACTGCTTTTCATCCTTTCTCAGGCTGGCCAGCTCAGGAAGCACAGAATTAACTCAGTTGTTTTGGGGACATGGGATTGGGTGTGGCTCTGACATGGTTCTCTCCCGGTCTGAAATGGTGGAATAGTTCCCAACTGGGATGCAGATGAGCTCATC